CATCCGCCATTTTTTTAATTAAAAGTCAAAATAAGTTAAAAACCATAAATTGTAGATATTGACATATAAGAATCAAAAGAACTGAAATTTCACGTAGAATCCAAAAATGTAATACAAAATAGGGATTTCCATTTACCTAAAATATCGAAATGACTAGCTACTTCCGGTATGTCCATTTTACATCAATTCGGCCTTCAGTTAACCTAAGTACAAATTTTCAAAAAACCTACCTAGTTCTCTTTTCAAGAAACGTTGAACTAAAGCTCCCAAAAGAACACCCTGTATATAGAAGACATGGCGGAAAAAGGAAAAATATGGTCTGAACATCGGGAGGGAAGAGGAAGAGTATACGATTTGCGAACGACATGATTGTATTTGCTGAGAGTGAAAAAGAACAGTAACAGTAATGGTAGACGGAGCAAGGATGGGAAAGGGAAATTAAGACAAGGATAGCGATGACAAAACAAGCATTTAATAATAAAAGAAGGATTTTGTTTTTGGTTGATGGCCCAGAACAAGAGAGAGGCAATAAGTATTAAGTACTTATTAGGCAGAATTGGAGAAGAAAGAAGTGAAAAAAATGAACTGGATTGAGCATGTACTAAGAAAGAACTGTTCGTCGAAATCAGTTTTTCGCACCCTCATTTAGGGGTGCGCTTATTTCGTGGTAGGAATTTTGAAAAAATGTTTGCAAAATCGGAAAGGGCGCATACCCGAAAACCTATTCAAAGACTTTCCACCAATCTTTCTAACTCTTATGGTTGATGCTGAGCAAAAATTGAAAAAGAAATGCAAATGTCACCACTTTTGTGGGGGTGCCTTTCAAACCAAGCACGTTGGACCCTCGGTTTATTTGGAAAAAATGCTTGTTTAAATCCCCTCTATCACTCAAATTTTTTTACATACTTATATGTAACGTAACACCCGGTATGCTAATTCAATATCCACCCATGATAGTTCTACCCTTCTACTATGAGATCAAATACGTTGGTGTCGAGTTACCTTTGGAATTTTTGTTTACATAGAAAATCGTACTTAACTTAAACTTCCAAAGGCTACTCGACAGCAACTCATTTTTGATCGCCCGTTAGTTTAGAGTAAACTGAAATACATTGAGTGAACGAGATAAGGTACCAAATTCTCACTGCCGTTCATTTTTAACCGAATATACCTACATACGTATATTAACGTATTGTACCACGTAAGCGTAATATCCCCAGCCCTCCTGGAACAACGCTGAAGAATGAAATAGGCGACCACAATAGAACATATTATTCGACATGTACTAGATTTTCATTTTACAAAAATATGAGTTTCCAAGAGAAGCTTTCCTTATCTACGTG